TCCTTTAAAGAACCCCTTGGCCAGATTGCGGTGCCGGCGGCTGCCGCGATCGGGGAATGCCGGCCGGCTTCTTTGCAATAGGAGCACGGGTTACCCTCGAGCCCGAGGTACCCGGCTTATCACCTGCGCTCACCCACGATTGCAGAGCAGCTGGCAGAGAATGAGCGGGGGAGGCTGTCTTCCTTTTTGGTGAAGGCACAGCCTCGGAAGGAGCCCTCCACTTTTCAGCCGTGGGGCCTGAGGCAGAGGATCCTGAAGCAGTAGAAGGCAGGAGAGCCTTATTGAACAGGATCTCTTTTAAACGACGCTCCTGCTCCTTGCGGGCTCTGGTCATCAAGCTGGCACAGTGGGTGCACTTCTGGGGGATATGTGCCTCCCCAAGGCAACAGACACAAGCCGAGTGTCCGTCTGATATCGGCATTGGCTCAGCGCACCTGGCACATTTTTTAAAACCAGGGGAGCCCAGCATTTTGCACCGTGAAAGGGATGAAAGTTCGCGCCTCCTAAATGCCGCCGCTTTTGTCACCGGCTTTCTTTCCGCTTGTACTTCTTTATCACAAAGGTTATTATTTCTCTCTCTCTCTCTCTTTTTTTTTTTTTACTGTTAGTTTAAAACATTAAGAGTAATGGGGAGAAACTGTGAATGAGGGAAACGTCTTTCTTGTGGTTTGTTTGTTTGGGTTTTTTTTTTCTTCTTTTAAACAACAAGCCTGCAACCCGGGCTAAATGAGGAACGGTTTTATTCTTTTCAAATTTCCCCTCAGGTAGCTGCCTGAAGGAGAAGGAGAACCTCTGTTTGAGGAGAAAGGGGGAGCTCTGTCTGCGACCCAAGGCGGATGAGAAGAACTGGCGGGCGCCGGACCGCACGCGGCAGATGAAAGGCGTGAAACTGGCTCGCACACACGCGGTCCGGCCACACACAGCTCTGGCAAGCTCCGATTTGCGGCACCAGGACCAGCCCAACACCAGACGTGGCTAGTGTTACATTTAAGTTTGTTATTTAATAAAACAGTATTTAGAGCACTGAAAAACAAATGTAATTTATCAAAGGTAGCTCAACACATTATAGGTACTGTATGTCACAAAAGTTACCTTGAAAAAAATCAGAACTAAATTGGTCTGTAACATCTGAAGTGCTACTGCTTCGGGTTAGTTGATGCTCCTGGTCTGCAAAGGGGCCAAGAGATTCTGCTCCTGTTGTATTTTCTGATTGCTGAGCTTCTTCAACATCTGTAGATAAAATAAAATGCGTTGCAAGGATTCTGAAACTTTGTACATTAACTACACACTAACATAGCAAAGTCATGTGAAAGATGAACAAGATAAATATTAAGACAGAGAAATTTTGATAATAAAATGAAGAATTTCAATTTTAGTTTTACCCCAAATGCTTTCCACAACAGAAAGAAATTTCAGGGAAAAAAGTATGCCAACAGCAGAATTGGGAAGAAGTTCAGAGAAGGGAAACTCAAATGATTAGAGTCAGAGTGGGTGTTGAGAGGTGCAAGGGATGTCACATAGAAAGAGATGACTGTTTAGTGTACAAAGGAAAAGGGTGAGGACTCAGAGATAAAAATTAATGAATGCTATAGAGAAGATTAATTCAGTGTTCCCTTTTATATTTTCCAAAATAAAAGAAAAAAGACACTTAAAAAGTCAACAGATTCAAAACAGATAAAAATAATATATATTTGTTTAATAAACACCTTATATAACTATCCAGTGGGACTCACAAGTAAGGGATTTGCTTTAAAAAAAAGATGAGTCTCATTACACATATAGGAGGGAATCACCTCTCCTGAATTCCTTAGGATATGCACAGAAAGCTGGATCCTTTCCTGGGGACAGATTTGCAAGAGATTTGCAGGTGGGGGGTGGGGGGGAGAACAGAAGATACAAGTAGAACACTGAGGAGAAGGGGGTCCCTGTCCTTCCAGTGGATTACCTCACATCAATGACAGCAACACTTGTATATTTGGGAGGTGCATAGGAGGTCCATTCTGCAGGTATTAGCAAATTTATTCTCCTCCTTCCCTTAACTTCCTACATGCAGATGCTAGAAGGAATTTGAGATCCTGTTTTTAGTCTTATGAGATAGGTGGGCAGAGTTTAAAAATCTCCAATGCCCTGTAAGCCAAAGGAACCTCTTTAGCAGCCATCCAATTCTTCTTAACTTTAAAAAGCTTGTTCTTTGTTGATGAGCAAAATCTGAGTCACCTGGTAGGCCTAATAAGTTGTCAGTCTTTGGACACTTCTATTTACGCTCATTGACTGATGACCCTGAGAGCTATGAAGAGCTACTAAACCTAATAAAACCATCCTCTCCCATCAGAATCCATAATGGATCCCAATTAACTAGTAAGATTTACAAAGGGTTGGAGCCATCTATAAGTCTACTAAGGCATGTTGAGGAATCCTCAGCACTGTCCCAAAACTATTAGCAGGGTTAGTTAAGTGTAAGAAATACTCTCTTCTATGTAGGGACTGGCTAGGGCTTTAGCATGTTACATTTTTAAAGTTGCCTGTTTGTTATTTAACTGCCGCGATTACATTAACTTAGTTCACTTCATATTGCCAGATAATTTGTTTTGCTTGTTGTGCATTACCAATTTCAGAAAGTCTGTTCAATAGATATTAAATACTTACCCCCCCAAAAGTTTAAAGATTTAAGCCATTAAAAATTATATAAACCATATCCTTAGCACACTCCCTCTCATTCCTTCTCTCTTTACAAGACCACAAACCCCTCTGTTTGACAGTTTCTTAGATAATATCAAATGTGCTAGGTGGGAAAAATGGAGACGCCATTTTAAGTGTTAGCTCTTAGTTTTAGGTGTTAAAGTCTGATTCTGTTTCTTCATAAGATAGAACATGGCAAGCATGAAAGTGGACAAAGAAAAGAATAGCAAACTCAGCATCTGTCTTTGTCTTCAGCTGTAATTCATTTCCTCAAAGTCACATGAATTGCATATAACTTTATTAGCCTCTTTGGGATCTGGCAAACTACCACCAGAATTGGACAACAGTATCACTTTATCTTGCCTCTCTGAACACAGCAAAAGATTACATGGTTTGATTTGTCCTGGCAGGCTTAGCTGAATTCTCATTAGAATGAAGTCAAGCAGATAAAGAGAAGAGAGAAATATGAAGCATCAAGTGGAGGGAGGAGCGAGGAGGAAGGAAAAGAATACACACCCAAAGGAGACACAGCAGGAACCTTAGGTTTGTATCTCAGTAATTAGAACAACTGTAGAGACAATTTATTTTGACTGGTCAGATTACTCCCAGGATCAAGAAACAGACAACCTAAGTATTTGATGATCAAGTCTTGTGTTCCAGCATTTGGTGGTAGTGACAGGTCTGGCAGTAATACTAGTTAATGCACCCTAACATGCCTAAGCTAATACTCAGCTCCTTCCTGGAGTATCAATGACTCACTCATGCACCCTTCTTCTCTTCTTAAAGTTTTGTTCTTTTACTAGGGCAATTCCTTGGGAGTATGGAAAATCCTGCTCAGATTTTTTTAGTTCAGACAAATACAAATTATAGCATTGGTACCAAGCTGTGGTTTCTTCAAACAATATTACATAATAAGCATATAAATTATGCTTCTACCAATTTTCAACTCACTATGGAACAATTCAAAACCATCCATGAGAATTCAACACAACTTATTTCCACTCCCCTATTCCTCTGCTATGCCTTTCAAACCCTTTATCTTTTGGCGTCTCTGTTTTGTGGCCCTTTTCTCTGGCTACTTTCTGCAGATCTCCTAAAGTCTATATAAAGTGAACACCAAAAACAGTCTGCAGAAAGGACCAGGGGGCTAGCAAAAAGAAAGAACATTCCCCTCACCACAATCTCTGCTGACCTCTCCACCTCTGATTGTGTGTTGGGAAGACAATTAAATTCAGGTCCATTTTAATTTAGTTATAAAGGAAGACGTACTTAAATAAATTGTAGGTCAAGATAAACCCTTAATGTGTAAGTGAATACAACAGAACCGTTTGTGGGGCTCCAAATGTCCGAACAAAAGCAGAAAAGAATACTATCTATGCCTTGCATGTTTAAATAAAGTTGTTGTTGGGTTTTTTGTTTGTTTTGGTAATAGGAAGCATAGCTCAAAAGTTATTTTTGTTTTCTAAAATCAAGATCTTCAGGAAAACGTTATTAAAGGCAAACATTTATAATTAGCATTAACTTGTATGACCTCATTGTTAGAGAGTGAATGGTCAAAAAGCTGTTGGATGGGTTTTTCCAGCATGTTTTGTTTTGAAGCATTAGACCCAATCAAATAGCTTTAGAAATATTTTCCCTGAAATTACTCAAAAAAAAAAAAAAAAAAGCTTTTGTTCACTAAGTGTTCCATACATTTTTATACCATCCAAACAAAATTTGAGAGTGAATATGAGGTAACCTGTGTTATTAAACTTATGCTTAAAGAGGAAATATCTCCCAAGGACTACAGAATGTGCTTTAAATGCAGCAGTCATTACTGAGTAATTGTAAAGTAAGCAGAGAGTGTGAAATGTAAAACATGCTAACACATAGTACTATAGAATAAAAGGACAGAAAAAGCCAGTAACAGCAGTTTAAAAAACAAAGAATATTGAAATATAAGACGGCTTTAAGTACAGTACCTGAAAGTCTGTGAGAGCAAGAAGTGTAAGAGATACCAGGTAAAAGAGAGCTCACAGTGTGAAGCAGAAGAGGTACACTTTTAGTGGCTGGCAAAGCCTCATAAAGATGCACACAGTTGCTGATAGACTGGCTTCGCTTAGCTTACAGAGAAAAATAAAGTAATAATTATATGTCAGAAGAACAGTAAAATACAGGGATTTTTCTAAGGATATTGTTTAAGTGTCATGGCAAAATAAATGCAACACACATCTGAAACAATTCATAAATAGTCAGAAAGCCTACATAAAAATGAATTTCTATACAGTAAAGGTTTGAATGTGTTGGAATAAAACTGACACATAATAAAACATATGTAATAAACAGCAGGGTTTTATTACAATATCCTGAAATATTACAATACCAAATCTTACTATAAATCCATTTTTGTCAATTAACATATTGGATATCTTATTAGCTGTTACTAGCACTTAGTAACTCTGTAAAATTATGATGGATCACCAGTCTAACCAATCCTCAATTTTTGTTAAATACTTAGGACTATTAGAGAACAGAAGAGAAATATATTCAACAATGGGTGCATCTCAAAACTAAATTAATGCAAATTTCTTCTCTCAATTTCTTTTCTGTTTCTCTTAAGTCTGAGATGTATGGAGTCCTCTCTGAAGTTCTGCAGGTGGTTGTACATTGTAACAGCCATGTGGGCCACACCCACTTCTTTGTTTGGCCACCAGACAATTCATTTCTATATTGTGTACAAACTCTGAAAATATGACATGTAACAATAACTTTAAAGGCAATCAATAAACTACATATAGTGACCCACAACTTGTAAATATAAAAATTAAATTTTGTCCATTTGCTAAGACACCATGTGGGGAAGTTAGAAATATGAAAGATGCTGCTAGCAGAAAGGAATTGATTACTTAAATTTTCCATTCTGCAGTCCCAGTGTTTCCCCACTTCTGAGGTGTATGGGAAACAGAAAGCAATGAACATAAGTAGAGAGGGATAAAGAAATAGACTGAAATAGGGAAAGTTCTCTCCTAAAATTAAATATCAAACTGGAAAGCTGTTTGTGGATCATCGCACGTAACACATTCCTTCTAAAGGAGACCTCTGCTGAGGATAGCAAATACACCATATAATGGATGACAATGGATGACAAATGCAGATTTCCTCAGAGGAAACAAATGCTTTCCCTGTTTATGTCATCACAAGAGATCTTTGGGGTATGCCTTGATTCCCTCTGGAACAGATTCACATAACTTGCATGGCTCAGTGATGCATAATTTAATCCACCTAGCCAAAATGTTCAAAGTCCATTTTTGGCACTTTTGTTGAAAGGAGACAGAGCCTCACCCCCTTGTTAATTTGGCGCTGAAGAAGTATTTTTAGATTACACCATATACTAAGTTGTAGGCCAGGAAAGAAAGATGGAAGGACTATTTCCTGCAATGCGTCAAAAGAGAAGTTCACTTTTGGTTAAAAAAAAAAAAATCCAGAACCCTTATTTTGACATTATTATATAACATACTATGTGGTTCTTTCATGGATAAAGCTGCTCTCTCAAAGACTCACTGGGGCTGAAAACAGGTTTTGATGTGTTCAGGGCTTTCAGCACCAATACATGGTACCATTTAGGACAGATTGCCCTTATCATGGGTCCAGTATGTTCTAAGAAATCTTGAGATTTGAGGATTCTCTGCTAAGGAACCTAAGGGTCCCACATATAAAATGTTACTTAAGGCTGACACTTGGCATACTTTTTTGCTGGTCTGAAGACTGTGTCCACAGTCTGGCAGAAAATCCACAATAAGTAGAATTCTGGTGTCCTTGGATTTTTTGTTCGTTTGTTTGTTTTTCTTGACATCTTGAGCTAAACCTAGATCAGATGGAAGAGCAGGCTTATGGTAAAAATGAGAATTATCTGGGGAATAATAGTCTCAATCACTAAGGCAGATAGTCTAAGGACAATCACTGTTTTCCTCTCAATAGCCATCAGCTGTAGATCCCCAGGGTATAGTTTCACTACTAAATGCTAAAACAAAAGGAAAACTAGGTAGCACTTTAAAGACTAACAAGATGGTTTAATAGGTGATGAGCTTTTGTGGGCCAGACCCACTTCCTCAGATCATATTCTGGAAGAGAATTGGCATGACCATATACAGGGCTCGCCAAGCAGCGGTGAGCCCTGCTCATCAGCTGTGCGGTTCTGCAAGCTGCACATGCACAGATCGCGCTGCGCATGTGCAGATCGCGCGGCGCCAGCAGTGCTGGCTTGTAATCTACTCGCCATGGGAGAGAAGATTACATGATTTGTCGAGCCCTGACCATATATACCAAAGAAATACAATGAAAAAAGTGAACACATTATTAAACTAACAAATCAGATTTAGTACAGAAGGTGAGGTGAGGGGGAGGGGAGGAGGGAGGGAATAGCTATTTGAGTCAATGAATGGCTAATCAGGGGTCATAAATGGGAAGCTATTTTGTAATGCTTAAGGTAATTAGCATCTTTGTTAAGGCCCATTCGTAAAGTGTCAAATTTAAGGATGAAAGAAAGCTTTCCCTCTGTAATCTGGTGTTAAAGTCTCTTTGAAGTAAGATGCATGTATAAGGTCATTGAGACTATGTCCAGGTAGGCTGAAATGAAAAGCAACTGGTTTTTCCTTGTGAAGATGTCTGATTTGTGGGCATTAATTCAAAATGCTTTGAGCGTTCTATTGCCGAGTCTACCAGATCTGAAAACCAAAGGACTCCTTCACCAGAGACACACTGATATCACCTTTACTTCCTTTTGCTTTATCTTCTAAAACTCCTTTCGTAGAAGTGAAAGAGGTGGGAATGCATAAAAGCAGGCTTTGGGACATCTGTGTAACATTGTAGCCATCTCAAGTGATACAAGAGCTGCTCTGAGGAATCTATACCCGATTTCAAATCAGAACCTGATTTATCATGCACTTCACTGAGTGGTTTCACATCTTGAGGATAAATTCATGGACACACTTCATATAGGAACGCTGATTCATATGTATGAAAACAGATGGCCCCGTAGTTGGAAAGAGAGAACTATGGATTGTCTCTGTGTTCCTTCTCAATAGTGGTAGCAGTTCTGGATCTTCTTGAATCTGTTCAGTGACAGGTAGACTTTGGCTGCAGAAGTGTCTATTTCAATTCCCAAGTGAACCATTTTTATGAAGGAGATCAGGTAGCTCTTCAAGGTTATCACAAAACCATGCACTTGAAATATCTCCATTGTCTGAGCTGTGGTGCTGTAAGCTACTTCTTTCATTGGAGGTCTGAGCATATCCCAAGTGGGATACAAGTGAGTGTTCTAGGACCTAAAACTGGCTAGAACCACCACCAGTGACTTGGTAAGGACTCCGGAGAGGTCAATGAATGACTGATGTGGCAGAGGAAAAGACAAGTTTTTTTTTCCTTCAAGCCTAAATCTGTTAAGGGATTTAACCCCCCAACCTACCCAGATGGATCCCTCCTCCTCCAACTCTCACTATGAATTATTCTGAAGCTTTTGATCAGGTTTTTCTGCATTGGAGTCACAGTTCCTTGGGGAAAGGAAGGAGGTCCAACTCTCGGGGTACATCTACACAGCAGGGCAAAACTTGAATTAAGCTACACAACTTCAGCTACATCAGTTGTATAGTTTAAGTTGAAATAGCTTGCTTTGTCGACAGAACTCAATGTGTCTGGACGCTCTTTGTCGACGGAAGTTTTGTCGACAGTATCTGTCGACAAAACTTCCGTCGACAAAACGTGGTAGTCTAGACGTACCCTTAGGTATCAAGCTGGAGAACTGCAAGTGGCAGGCACAAACTGCATTAGGATGATGAATCATCTCCAGTACTGCAGAGATCAGAGGAAAAGTTTACACACCTCAGAACTGTTGGACATGCTGTCCTGCTAAGTGAATTCCACTGAATAATACGTTTCTATTATTAAGAATACTATTAAATAGAAAAGAAAGAAAAAGTGAACAGACACTTCCTGCAGGAAAGATGGAATATTAAAATTCCAGGACCGTGTCATAGTGCAAGTACAATTAAACGAGATGTCAGTGCTAGGATTCTAGTGCTATATGCCCAAGAAGTGAGCTTTGAAACCAGATTCTGATATCACACCTGTCACACAGCACATTTTTGCATGCCTCAGAACCATGTACAAAGTCTGGCCCCACTTAGACATTTATTTAAATGTATACACAAAATAACCAACGGCATCCACTTCAGGCTCCAAGGGCCCCTGCCATAAATTATGTAAAACATGAAACTGCCCACAGAACACCTTCAGTTCTAAAATATCAATCTTATGCCAGGACTCTTTATTGGGTCTGCTGGGTTAGAAAATTGTCCAATTCTGGCAGAATTTTTCTCTGTCTGACAGTAGTAGCGCAGAAGCACCAACGCTGACAATTTCCTTGGAGTTGCTTGCCACCCAGCTCCATCCCAGGTCCTGCCCCCCTCAGCCTTTTCTCCTAAGGTCCCATCCCCAACTCCACCTCTTCCTGATCTGCCTCTTCCTGCTCCTATTCTATTCCTTCCCCTGATCATGTCCCACTGTCACTCCTTTTTCCGCACTGCCTTCTGCATGCTATAGAACAGCTATCTGGTGGGTCAGAGATGTTGGGAGGGAGGATGAATGAGCTGGAGGGGGGGCAATGGGTGGTGAGCACCTGCTATTTTTTTCCATAGGTGTTCCAGACCCAGAGCACCAGTGGAGTTGGTATATCTGACATGGGGACATTCAGAACTATCCATTCTCCTCCAAAACTGCATCTATGCATACAGGAACAGTCTTCCCCTCGACTCCATGAAGCTCTTGCAACTAACCCACAATGCAGCAGCCAAAATTTATACTAATGATTTTGTTTAAAATTTTGGCAACTGAGGTTCCAACTTCCAACAGATCATAATAATGCACTGCAGTGCTCTCCTGCACAGTTCACATATATTAAGTTCATTATTCTTTTAAGGGACTAATACATTGCAATGCCACACCTTAAATGGAGTTACCCAGACATGTTAACTTAAACACCGGATTAGATAAAACAAAATAAATGTATTAACTAAAGAGATAGAATTTAAACAAGAACAAGCAATGAGATACAAATCAGAAATGGTTACAAGAGAAACAAAGATAAAATGCTTTCTAGTGCCTAACAAACCATATAAGATTTAAAGCAAAGTTTCTCATCACATGCCTCTAGCATCATTACTGACTATATCCTTCATTTCCAGCAAAAAATCAAGAGATAGGGGGGCTGTGGAGGAAGGAACTCTCATGGTGTTTGTCCCAGCCCCTTTTCTCGTCAAAGAATGGTCACTTTATAGGGGTGGACCATTAACTTCGTTGACATCCGGATGTGGCATAAGTTTGCCCTTTGTCTTTTAGAAATTGGTTTAGCCATTCCCCAGACTTATCTGGGAAATGCACTTCAGTCATGATTTCATCTTATGTTAATAAATGTACAGATAATGTTGCTATGTGCATTTTACCATGATATTAATGATCAGCAAGTTTTGAGTTTTTAAAAGGATTCCTCACAAGCAACATTGTGTTATCTACATGCTTTTGCTGCTGCTCAGGAAAGATTTCAATGCCCACCCAGCAGATTACCAAAGCACTCATAACTAGGTTTTTCATTTCTACTGGTGGTGCACATTCACACATGCCTCAGTGCACATAACATTTATTCTGCATGTGGATGAAAAAAATCCACACATGGATGTAAAAGATTTAAGGGAATGATGCTCAGAAGACATGTCTGTATAAAGATTATTATAACAGGTGTAGGGTATGAATACAGGGGTGCATTTCACCATATCTTTCTCCATAAAAGGCTGCAGTAGTGTTAGCTCTAGCTAAGAAAAAAGAGAACGTGAACCTCAGACATCTCACACTCAAAACAAGATTCATACCATTAGGCAACAAACCATTTGCTTGCCACAAGTTGTCTGTTTCTGGTCTGAGTGATCACAGTCAAAGTTAAAAAAATTCTCTGTAGAATGTCCTAACGCTTATGATCAATGGGATTTTTCAGAAAGAAGTCTCGAGTAAAGGTGTGACTGTTTTTCACTGGTACAGTTGTGCCAAACTTAGTTTCCCAAAACACATACATTTTCCATATTATCTTATAAAATATTTTAGTCTAACATTTACTTTTCATGAGAAGACTCCTTTGATATTTTATGACATCCTCCAATGACAAGAGTAAAGGAAACTCTGTATCTACTGTTCCTGAAGGAAAAGATTTTTTAAAAATATTGACTTCCCCACAAGCCACGAATGGGCTTCCAATCCTGGGAGACCCACGTGTGTTTTCACTGACAGTGTCTCAGAGTTTGATGGCAGAAAGGACCATTATGTCATCTAGTCTGACCACCTGTGTATTCGAGACCATTAATTACATCCAGTTACCCCTTTATTGAGCCCAATAACTTGCATTGCACATGTCCGGTATTCTCTGATTTTTTTTTTTTACCAAAGAGTGAAAATATTGGACTGTCCAGTAGAATACCGACACCAGGCAACCCTAGCTGGCGGTGCTGGGACTGGACATGAGAGGCAGTGGGAGACCACTTACTTGCTTTTGCACAGCTCAAAGCACCATAGCCCAGGCACTGCCTCCCACTGCTCCCATTATCCAGATTCTGACCAATGGGAGCAACAGGGAAAGCCTCCAGGAAGCATGTCCTTGTGCTTCTGTTTTCTCAACTGGGGGAGGGGGAAGGGAAGCGGCAGTGCACATAGCTGCTTCTAGCTCCACTTCTTGCCTGCAAGCCAGATTCAGTGGGGAGGCTCGGAGCTTTCTCCCCACTTCCCCCGCAGGTAGCCAGCACTGGTGCTCCAATTTTGTGTGTGTGTGGGGGGGGGGAGGCTGCAAGGTTGGAGCACCAACATGGGCTCCCTGTTGCAGGAGTGGGGAGGGCTGAGCTGGAGCTGCAAAAGAGCCATATTTGGCTCCCTACCAAACCATAGGTTGCTGACCTCAGAGCTAGATCGACCTTTGGTCTGACCCAGTATGGCTGTTATGTTTTCTCCTCTTTCTTTCAGTCTTTCTAGAAGAAACAAATAAGAAAAAAAGGAAACTAGAGAATTCCAAGCTACTGTATATATGTTTTGAGATACTGTACATATTTACTCGACCTTATTTTCAAAAGTGTTGTTGAAAAAAATCAAGTAACTTATTCAGGCACCTAAAATATGGATTTAAGAGCTTAATTTGTGTACCCATTTTTGAAAAATTGTCATTATGCACAAGACTACAGATGTGCATTACACTTCAGAATAAGAAAATCACAAAACAAATGTAAAATGACCCCTCTTTTGAGAAAGTATGAGATGTAATAAAATGTACAAGGATATAAGTTATGGATGGTAGGTATGAATAAATACAAAACATTTTATTAAGGTTAGCTTTATTAAATAATTATGATCATTTAAAAATATTGTAATGAAAAACTGGCAGTTTACAATTAAGAGATTTTATCCACTGGTTGTTAAAATGATAGACTATACTTTATTTATTAGCTGACATTTTTACACTTATGCAAATATAGTATTTTGTAGGAAGTGGCTTTGTTTTGTAGCTTTTTTCCATAAACTGTAATAAGATAATTCCCAAATAACAGTATGTATTATAATATTTACTACTATTCTGTAAAGCTTTCATTAATTAAGTTGCTTAACCCATAATTTACAGCTACTACAATTATTTAATGAAACTGAAAAGCATTTCTATACCTCCATATAATGTTTACCAAATACTAAGCTGTGTAGTTCATAATTTAGTGTGTGTGTGTGTGTGTGTGTGTATAGAGAGAGAGAACCTATTCACAACGAATACATTAAAATACTTTCATACAGAATCCTTCACCAAAAAAATCTAAGGGTGTTTTATAATTCAGATCTGGTAAAAGCAGGGGAGAGAAAGATTATTGTGAACATATATTGTATTTTCTGTAACTTATTACTATCTGACAAGATTATTCTGAGGTGCACAAAATATATGTAAACATCAGCAGGACATGAAAATGTAGGTATTCGTACCAATACTTGAATGCTTGAAAGGCTGAGCTAAGTTTTAAGGCAGGGATGGGGAACTTCAGGACCAGGGACCAGATGCGGCCCCAGGCTTGCCTGGATCCAGCCCCTGAGGCTCAGGGCCACCTCCCTGCATGGAAAGCCTGCACTGGCACTCCAGTCCCCCATCACAGCCCCACCACAGTGCTGGAGTACACACAATCTACTAGGCTGGGGCTCCCAGGTGCTAATGTGCAATGGCAATGTGAGGAGTGTCTTTCTCCTTCTCAGTCGGGTGCCACATCAGTAAGGTTTTTGTGTGTGGTCCTCAACTGATTTTTCTGTGGGTCAGTGGCCCCCGACCCAAAAAAGGTTTCCCACCCCTATTTTAAGGTATGAAGCCAAAGTATCTCAATTTACTAGTAAATGCTGACATTTCCTGGGAACAGTGGGCTGTGAAGATGCAAGTTATTGTTTTAATAAGAAGTTAGTCTAATGTCTGAAAGGCAGTCAGGCCAGCTACAAAATCCAAGGTTGTACTAATACATATTTTATAGTATATCTCTACAGTACACAATACTTAGCTAATCATTCTTTATTATTGAGACCATTTAAAAAAACCAACAAAATATTACATCCTTGTATCCTACTTTAGTAGATAACAAACCTATCCTAGGTTATATCATTGTAATATGTTTTTATTCACTTCAAGAATACAACTGATCTCTTTTTCTAGGTGGAAAAAAAGATTCAGAGACAACTTTGCAAATATTTTTCCTAATTAAAAATCACAAGACGACATAATGTTTTATAAATGTATTTCTTTCAATGTATTTAGTAAAAACAGTAAAAGCACTCAGTGCCTAACCTGTTGCTCTTTGTCGGACTATGTTTCTTGCTTTCTCGACTCCTGGTGCTCCAGAAGTAGTAGCACTCCTGAATCTCATTGGTTCCACAACTTCAGGATGACTTCTCCAGCTTAATGAAAATGATCGTCCCACTGTAGTTGCCTTCTGAGGATCTGAAACTCCACCTTTGAAATCAAGTAAAAGCGACATCAATCTAGAACATTTACAATTACACAGAGTTGTGTTTCTATGAAAAGAAACTAAAATGGGACAAACTTTAAGCATATTATTTTTCACAGAAAAATATTATTCAAAATAATTTAAGAGATGCCAAATATGGAGAAGCTATATCACAAAGCTCCTCTCATTGTTTCTTCTTTCTCTCCATTTTTCAAACAAAGTTATATATAATATCAATGGAATAAAATGATGTACTAAAACTTGAAAATAAATCAATTTAATGATTCAAATATAAGTATATTGCCTCTTGACAAGAACTCAAGACTTAAGTGTCTACATAGGTTTCTAGAATAATACCATATTGTACTAAGATGAATAAGTAATGTGTTCCTTAATTTATATTCAAGAATCAAGTCACTGACATTAAGAGTCTACTTTGCCCTCCCAGCCAACTCCCTGATTTTTTTAAAGGGCGCTAAAGCTGTGAATATGTACTTCCTTCCACCTGATTTCAGTGCAGGCTTCTGGGTGCCTGACATTTTTGAAAATCAGGCCACTTACAGGCAGTCCCCGGGTTACGTACAAGATAGGGACTGTAGGTTTGTTCATAAGTTGAATCTGTATGTAAGTCGGAACTGGCATCCAGATTCAGCCGCTGCTGAAACTGACTGCCAGTTCTGACTTACATACAGATTCAACTTAAGAACCCCAGGCGTCCCCAAGTCAGCTGCTGCTGAAACTGATCAGCAGCTGATTCCAGGAAGCCCGGGGCAGAGCAACTCTGCCTCGCTGCTGGGTTGGTCCAGTAGCGCGGCCGCTCCTCGGCGCTACTGGACCAACCCAGCAGCACCCCACCTGCTCTGCCCCAGGCGTCCTGATTCAGCCACTGATTCCGCC